CCTCCCACCTCCCACCTCCCACCTCCCACCTCCTCAAATCCATAACTTCTCACATGAAAACACGGTTAATTCATTTGAAATACAAGAGACGCTTTAGAATCTCAGCATATTGAAGCTGATGTAAATTAACTCCAAAAATGGGCTATTTAATAGAAGAAAAAAAATAATAGAGAATTTCATTTTCCGATTGAAATAAGAATTAAACATTATTGAACAATGAGATGAACACTATTTTTTGCTTATCAGGAAGTTTTAACAAATCATTTGCGGCTAAAAATATGTGGACATTGCTTTGCTTTCCATAGTAGTACCATGGTGACGAAATTATTGAAGAGCTCTAAACACTACTGAAATGTCATTCGATGGAAAATCATGGAATAGAAATGATATTCCAAGTTACCGCTATGCAAGACCACAAGTAGACGTCTTATGATTTCTAAATGAAATGCTGCTAACTTTGTTAACCGTTAAGGGTGTAAAATTTCCACCATCAGAAAATCTGTATATATTTGCAAATTTACGCATATTATGAAACTGTCGCGTCGATTTAATTAATTGAATTGAAGTAGGTATTTCAATGGAAGATCATTGGATGTTTGCCTCGTTTCAATTATATGCTCCACCCCTAATCTCAAATTTTATTTCGAAAATGTGGTGTAAATCCGACAATTTTTCAACTTGGTTTAGGTGAGGGTGGATGCATTTCTCCCTTAGCTGTAATTAGATAAAAATTAGGTTCCCAAGAAATAAAATTAAACTGCATCATTTCCCAAAGCACTGTCAGTCTGGTTGGGCAGTTCGAACACAACATGAAGGAAAAATGTCTGTGCTCATTTAGAAACTGCTTATACACTTGCCCTAGTTCCAGTTGTGTTAGAGAGTTGAAAAGGTCTCCCATTCACCCATTGGTACAAAGATTGCACTTTCTCCAAAACACGTAGTAAGCTTTGGGAATTTAGTACAATTTTTCAGTTAGAAACCTGTCATCAACTCCGAGAAGAGGAAGTAATCATTTCACGTTATGCTTCACTTCCTGTTTGAGCCATTAAATCGATTTAGGTATATCCAAGTCCGGAAGGAGTTGGGAGTGCATTTATTATTTAATGTGTTTGAGTGAGTAAATTGGGAAAGTATTATTCATGCCCCTTCTGCAAATTAGAAATTAATTGATTCAATTACAATAGCCTTTTTTGCAGGACGGGAAAAAATTATCAAGTGGTAAAAACGGCATAATGAACAGTTCCAGGGTGGGGGGTGGGGGGGGGGGGAATTTNNGGAATTTAGGAGCGAATCTCTTGTGTATAGAGTTCGTGATAAATTTTGTCGTTTAAGCATTATCAGATTGGTTATTCTGAACACATACAAACGTACTATGCTAAGCTAAGGAGAAACTTCATTTAAAAGGCCTTTCTAGCACCCTCTTGTTGTTAAAATGCACTTAGCAGAATTTGAAAACAAGACACACGCGTTTGCTATGCTACAGCAAAAAGCCAAACACGGGCAATTTATAACTTAGCCCTCTTAAGTGGCTTCCACTTTAAAGTCAAACGCCACCAAAATGGTAGACATTGAATCATTATTCGAGTAAGCATTTTATACGAATAGAAATCTTTAAAAAATATAGGAGTTGGAAATAGTGACTCCTTTTTTGCAATGACTATAAAAATATATATATATATATATGAAAGAGACATAAATTGGCAAATGCGAACCTCAGTTAGTAAAAGAAAATCCAGAGTTATAGTTTCCAGGGTTAAACATCCACAATAGTCAAGTCGTCAGGGCAAGAAAAGCGCATGTGTAACAGCAGGAGGAGGAGAAGAAGGGACAGATGAAGATAGGGGAAGTAGTGAAGTAATTGCAACGGTCTTAGTGGTCAAGGTGGTTGTGTGTAGAGGTGGATAATGGTAATCCACCGTGAGCGCAAGCAGGACAGAGTTTGTTAGTAGTGGGAGAGAGAGATGGGATTTGTGCAATCACTAGTTCATCGGAGACGGCCAGTGGGCACGCGTGTGTACACTCAGAGATAGAGCAGAACACACCTGCATACCTGGCTTAAGGGTGAGGCGAGGAAGAAGGGGAGGGGGGATGCGGAAAGCGTACAGTTAACATGAGGTTGAGCGCTAGCAGGTACGCACCTGCCTTGCACATACGTCCGCACAGCGTGTCTAACTTGTTCGGCCAGGTAAGAGAGAGAATTAACATTCTAGGAACACGTTAGCACTCACGAGTAATACGAACGCACGCAAAGCAGGTAGAGGCATTTGCTGACAGGGTAGATGTATTTGGTTAGTTAGCTCACACTTTCTTATGCGAGCTAGTTGTGCCCTGTAGATTCGTCTGACAGCTGGCATATCATGCTGATGAGCGGTCACTCCCTGTCACTATGGGTAAGGTTAACGTTTCCGCTGGCAAGACAGAAAGATAAGCAGAGAATTTAACCCGGGTAACTATTAGTAAAAAAGCATTCTGGTGACTCTCTTAATGAGGTTGATTACACCTTTAAAGTTTCAAAATTCGTAATGTGGTTAGTTAATTGGGGGATCTGTGGAAAGTAAAATATTCATGTATCTGCAGTCGCAAGTTGCTTTTGAAGTGCCAAAATAATTGCAGTCACGCATATTTACTTATATCAAATATCAGGCTATATAAGAGCTATCATTAGCCCCTTAGTTGACTTCGGGATTCACAGAGGAGAGGAACATCAAAGTCGTAAATGTCGATGC